CTCCTTTCCCCTTACTCCTCCTTTCCCCTTACTCCTCCTTTCCCCTTACTCCTCCTTTCCCCTTACTCCTCCTTTCCCCTTACTCCTCCTTTCCCTTCTAAAGGCTAAATGCATTTTCTGTCTAAATAATTGAAAGAATATTTTGATTTACCGTATTGAAGTTACATGGATCCCTTCTGAGGTACAGATAAGAACTTATGGCAGTTGTGTGCATCTCAGCTGGTGTTAAGAGTGGCTTTTAAGAGATTCAAATATTTATACAGCGTCGCCTTGCAATAAAACAAGAGGAGATTGATGATGATTTCAGCTATGCCCGAGAACTCAGAGAGAGGGAAAAAAGACTGAAAGCTTTAGAAGAGGAACTGGAAAAAAAGGCAAGGTAAATATAAGGCTCATGTGAGGATTCCTGGTAGTCTGTAAGCAAACTTATGGTTTGGGCACGGTCGGTACTTCAGAAATTTGGGAACCGCTGATTTGCTGCAACGCTGTAATTTGATTTTTGTTGTGATGAGAGTTTGAGGGAAAACTTTAAATAAAGCTTACAATTAAAAATGGAGACCACGGCTAAAATGGTCAAATGTATGTCAAAGCAGGACATACAAAAGCAGAGAAATTGCACTGATAATTAATTTTTTATATTATTCATGTTTCTTGTGTTAAATCTGAGCATGCTTATGAAAGATGAGTGACCTAATAGCATAGTTGCAGAAATACATATTGACAAAGAAGACAGTCTTGTTTTGTCCATTTGTTTCTATTCTGTGGCTTTTAGTTTAAAAACTGATTTCTCATTTCTGAGGTATCAAATGCTCTCATTCTCCAGAAGGTGAAATGAAAATGAGGTTTTATTTTTACCTTCATTTAGGCAAGAATTAATTGACCATTATAGCAAACTTTCTGATGATGCAGCCCGGAGGGAACAAAGAGCTTTATGGAAAATCCAGCGGCACAAATTGGAAACAGCCCGTCTCAAGTTCCTGTTGGAAGATCAAAAGCAAATTGAGGTAACCTCTAAAAGGATTTAAGGGAATGTTATCTAGAACATGTAGTATTTGGCTCATTAAAAGCTTTTGGTTCTGTCATTTTTACATTTAGGAAATGCTTGAAAAACTTCCAGATGGAAACTATAGGAGAAAATTAGATATTATTCCATACGAACAGTGCCCGCTGCCTTTGGATGCAAGCATGGTTGTGCAAGATGCACATTCACAGGTGGGTTTATTTTCTTGTACTAGCTCCCCGTAGCTGTTGCAAGTTCCCCTGCAGTGAATTGGCTCATTTCAGTTTGGGAAACAGAAGATTCACTGCAGCAGCACGGTGAGTAGCTAGCACAGGATTTGTAGGACATTGGAAGAACTGGAAGTTTAAAACCCTGTGCTATGGACTCATGTCATAATGAGTATCTTCATTATATGACTGGCCATACAGTGTCATAATTACTCTCCTTTAGGTGTCATCTGTGAGTTTTCTGCCTTCTAGTGAGAAACTTGGCAGAAAAGAACCTGAGCCTGGCCTAGAGCACCTTGCTTCCACAGACCAAGCGTTGCCTGTGGCGCGGCCAGCAGCACATGAGGCTGATGAGCATCTTCATCCTCAAGCAGCAGGGTCTGGATTCTGCTCCCAGCCTGCAGAGCAGGCAGGCAGCCCTCTGCACGGGGCTAGTTCCTTGCCTGAAACTGAGGTGAATATAGAAGACTTTTTATCGCAACCACAAGATGAACAACCTGTTGCCGTTAGTGTAGAAGGCTCTCTGCTGGACGAAGCATTTCAGAACATTAACTCTGATCTTTCTGAGCCCTCTCAAGGGGGTAGACATCAGCCTCTCCCAAGAGGCCCACTTGAAGCAGAGGGTGATGCAGCATCGTGTCTGCCACACGAGTATGATTTTAGTACCGTCCTCAGACCGTCTGCCGCTTGGCAGGGACACGGTAGAGCTGCAGAGAACGTGCTTGATGCAGACTACAAAAGGCCTCAGTGGAACATTCATGGCCATGCATCCGACTCCAGCCTCAGGGTGGGAGAATACGTGCCTCCCGAGTCCGGGGAATGCGCACGCTCCCACGGGAGAACCAGCAGCAGCGCTTGCGACATCCCGCCCCACCGGCCCCGCTGGAACGTGCACGGGCACGTTTCCCAAGCCCATATTAAAATCGGGGAATATGCTTCGGAGGTAGAGCCCCCGCGGCCCAGGGGGAATATTCACGGACACGCCTCAGAAGGCAACATCAAGGTGGGCGAGTACGTGTCGAACGCGGCGCCTGCGAGGCCTCGCTGGAACGTCCATGGCCACGCGTCCGATGCCAACATCAAGATCGGTGAGAACGTGTCCGAGGTCGTCTCGGCGCGGCCCCGCTGGAATATCCACGGGCACGCGTCCCAGTCCCACATCAGGATCGGAGAGCTCGTGGCGGATACGGAGCCCCTGAGACCTCGCTGGAGCCCCTTTGGCCACGCGTCGCAGTCGAGCATTGAAATAGGGCAGTGGGCCCCGTGTGCGGAGAGCGACCCCATTCCGCACCGTAGAGCCCTTTCTGGTCCCTCATCCAGCTCCACGGTCCAGGCTCTTCTCTGCAGTGAAGAATTAGCTCCTGCGGAGGGAAGTAGAAAGAAAGTGGAAGCATCACAAGCTGGGAAAAAGGCCTTACCCCAGTCCCCGGCACCTGACAGCGTTCCAGTCCTTCCTGGCGCCGGCACCGAAGGTGACAATAAGGAAGACGTAACAGAAGGGAAGCAAGAAGGTAGAATAAAACTAATTCACTCATCATTTAAGATCACATGAAAGAAATTGTTAATATTTACGTTCAAAATGTGTGCTTAATTCCTTCTGTGTGCTTTTAGACACTAATAGAAAACAGAGACAAGAATTTCAGTTCAGTCTCGTTTCCTACCCTAGCATAGCATTAAAAAAAAAAAATTGATTTGAGCCTTTGCCAAAGCAGAGCCTAATGTGACCTTGAGTTAGAGCACTTTCTGAACATTCTCTTCTAAATAATCTAATGTTAACAGTGTTAATATGGTGAAGAGGACAAGCACAAAATTGTCTGCGATGGACTGTGGAGAAGCAGCATCATTGGGGTGGTTATTTTGCTGACACTCTGCATTCTGTAGAGAAATTTTGGAGACCCTTGGGGCAGATCTGTAGTATGAACTAAATATTGCAGTTCTAAGTATTCACTGTCTGTAATTTACTTGCAGTTACTGTGGTTGCAGATGGAGTCAACAAGGACTCTTCCCCAGATTCTTCACAGAGCTTGCAGGTAAGAAACACCATAGTTGTGGTAAAGATTCCCCTTTGCTTCAAAAGATGAGGCAGTCTGGTAGCTAAGGTAGTGATTTCTCTCTTAATTTATGAATTGCTCTAACTCCATCTTGGGGTTTTTTTTCTGAAAAAATGCAGGCAAGTAGGCTGTATTATTTTCAATGGGAACAGCTACTCAGTTACACTGAGAGTGAATAATTGAAGCTAAGAGCTGTCATAAGGCTCTGTGGTCCTTTTTTTTTCTTTTTATTTTAGATAGAAGAACCTGAAAAAACAATTCCACAAGACACAGCGCCTCCAGCAGCTTTGGTTTCTGAAGCTACTGCTGCCAAGGGGAAGAAGGAAGAAGAGGGAGAGGATACATGGAGGAAAGAACAAGCTTATTTAAAAGCCTTATCGGACCAATACTGTATTGAAAAATACCAAGATAGTTATGATTTGATGTGTGAGTAGAACTCTTGGAATAGGAATCAATGGGAAAATGTGGTGAACCTGAGCAACAACACTGAACACAGGAAGAAATCCCTAAATTATCAGTGAATCACCAATATTATAAAACTGTAGCAATCAAATAATCCCTTTCTAGGCATAAAGATATGAAATACATTTTGACACATTATAATTTTTTACTCCAGAGAGGTTTGGAGATACTTGTAGAAATGGGTTATCAAATGGCTTAAACACAATAACTTACAATGTTTCAATACTTCTAAATTCAGCAGAACTGCCCGTGTCCCATCTCTTGCACCACGTGATCCCCCGCTCCTACACTTTTCCCGTGGATCCTACGGTACAGTCGGCGACGGATGAGACGGCTGTTCAGCTGAGTGAGCTGCTCTCTCTGCCCGTGCTCATGAAACGCTCCATTACTGCTCCCCTTGTGTCCCAGTGAGTATTACCTGGAAATGCTCATTATTTAGCAGTTTGCTTCTTGCTGTTAGTTCTTTTCTGCGCCAAGAATGGTGCACTGATCTGTTCCCTTACGTTTTCTCTCTGCTTCCAGAAGTGGGGCAGTGGATGCTCCCCTACTAATTGAGAAGCTCAGATTTACATTATGAGCAATAACATAAACTTTTATACGTGAATTAAAAATGTGAAGGTCTATTTGAAATGTAAGGACTCGGAGACAAGCCTTTTCTCTTAAGACTCGTGGATTTTGCAGCAATTTGGGGTTGTCACCATCAGCCTCCTTGTTCTTTTAAAAGAAAATGTGTTATTTATATTTATGCTGGTTTATATCTGGTTTCATCTGGGAAGTCTGGTGATGAGAAGTAAAATAGCAGATGGAAGGTTGGCTGCGAGGGAGTGCGAGGAAGGAGATAGGAGAGAAAATCTTTTGATGATGTGAAAACTAGTGAGTGTAGAAATGTCAGTCGGGACATATTTTGTGATCCTGTGGGAAATCTAGTTTTTTTAAGGCAGTTTTGGAGTTAAATAAAAGTTATTCTTTCTGTTGGAATAAATAGAATCAATAGGGGAGCTATATATGCATTGGACCATTTTCCTGGTGTTTGTAATGGTAAATTAGAATACCTAAATATCAGAATACACAAATACTAGACTACATAAAAGCTCAGCTCCTGTCATGAAAACCATTATTCCCAGATGTGTTGAAATGCTTTCTGCTTCAGAATCTTCTTTCTTGTAGATTGGGGGTTTCTTTTTGCTGAGTATGCTGTAATTCAAATACAGTGCACTGCAGAAAGATCTGATTCATTTTTAAACAGCTAAATGAGCTGTCTTGTGTGCAGGTGCCAATATTCAGAAAGCAAAAGAGCAGATAAAGGAGGCTGAGTTGTGTGCTGGCAGAATCAGACTATTCCTGGTATGCAAGTTGGTTTAAAGTTAGTTTGGGTACCTGCACTATGCTGCAAACTATAGTATAGACCTGCTCGTGGTATCTAGTGAAAGAGCTTTCTTGATTAAAAAACTGTTTCAGCCTTGGGAACTGCTCACTAATTAAAAAGTAAATCGTTACATGTTCACCATGATGAACTGATAGTATTTCACAGAGACAGAGAGTGGTTAAGGTTGGAAGGGAGCTCTAGAGATCATCTAGGCCAAGCTTTATCCTTTAGGTTGTTCTTAGCAGGGATTTAGAAGTTCTACCTAACCTGCCCCTAGAGGTGGCAGAGAGAAGGCTGTTGAAAAACATCTTGTCCCAGGTTCAGCAAAGTGACTGTGACATTTAGTGCAAGCTCAGATACTTCTGAAGTCTCAGATATAAGAGCAGGGGCTGGAGAGCTAATCAGGTGACGTAGTCACGGCTGAATTTTAACAGGAAGGAAAGAATGGCTTGCAAGAATCACGTGTGTCTCTGTGTGTTTATTCCCAGCGTGTCCCTTGTGAACAAAGCCATAGTTGATTACTACTTTGTGGAGCTGAACGTGGAGAAGCACTTTGAGGCGCTCAGACACTTTCTGCTGATGGAAGACGGGGAGTTTGCCCAGTCGCTCAGTGACCTCCTGTTTGAGAAGGTACCTGCTGGGCCTTCCGAACCCGCTGCCTGGTTCCTTGGCTGCCTTGGCTCCATCCCTCTGCCTTCGTTTGAATGGAGCTGGGGGAATGGTGTGAACTGGCATCCTGGCTTTATGCCGCGTCAGTAAATCCTGTAGTGAGGAACGCTGGTAAGGCTCTAAAGACCGGAGCAAAGGAATGTTTTGCTCAGAAGGGCTGCCTGTGCCCAAGGAATTCCTAAGGAAGGGCAGTATTTCCCACTGCCCACCCTGGAAACTGCTGCACAGGCTGGGAGCAAGAATGGTGGCAGGAAAGAATAGGTACCACTTGACCATCCCATCTTACCACCTTATTCACCTGCAGTCAGAAGTCAACACCATTGGATTAATACTGTGTAATTAGCTTCTTTTTTTGTTCCTTCCTTCTTTCATGAGGGCAGCTCGGATCAGGACAAACCCCAGGGGAACTGCTGAACCCCCTGGTCCTCAACTCCATCCTCAACAAGGCCTTGCAGTACAGCCTTCACGGGGACACCAAGCTGGCTTCCAATCTTTCCTTTGCGCTCAAGTACCTTCCAGAGGTGTTCAAGCCCAATGCCCCCGATGCTCTGAGCTGCTTAGAGCTCAGATACAAGGTAAGAGAGTGTGTAGAAAAGGAGGAGTCCTGCAGTTACGCTCTGATTCTTAGGTACTGTGGCAGAGAGAATGTGTTCTTAATAATGGAATACCTTTTAAGATGGAGTCCAAGAATTGTGTGGTTAAATTTATAGGATTTACTTATCTTGGAATTATTAAAATACACTGGCATAGTCATTTTTGTAATATGTCCATAAAATGCTTTTATGTGGAGTGTCCTAGAATGCTAACCTTTAGCAGGAGGATGTAGACTGTTCAGTGCAGTTATTTCTTGCAGGTTGACTGGCCTCTGAACATTGTCATTACCGAGAGCTGCATGAATAAGTACAACAAGATCTTCTCTTTCTTGCTCCAACTGAAGCACATGGTGTGGACCCTCAAGGACGTTTGGTTTCACCTGAAACGCACTGGTAAGGTTTGTAAGTGAGCTGGGGAGCACGCTGTTGAAAAGGCTTTTAGCATTTTGAGCATTGAGCATCCCCAGCCAGAGAATTGATAACAATGGCATTTAAAGCAGTCATGTGAAGCTGCAAAAGCCAAATTTGATTAAAGACAACTCTTCAGCATTTTAAACAGGTGTTTGTAATAGAAACCTCCATTCCCTTAAAAACTCTGATTGCAGACTGTCCTGTGGGTGCTGATTTCTCTCTTTATTTCCAGCTTTAGTGAATCGTGCCTCAAATTCAGTTCAGTTCCGGCAGCTCCAGCTTTATAAGCACGAAATGCAGCACTTTGTGAAGGTTATCCAGGGTTACATTGCTAACCAGATCCTTCACGTGACGTGGTGCGAGTTTGGAAACAAGCTGTCTTCTGTGGGCAACCTGGAAGAAATCCACAGGACGCACGCGGAGTACCTGAACAAGGCCATCTTCAGGTAGCTGCCACGCGTTTGCTGCAGCTGCGGGAGCCAGCGCTGCGGTGAAGTCAGGCTGGGCTCCCAGCCCTGGGGCCTCACCTCTTCGTGCAGAACTGGCTCCTGCCTCCTGCTCTGTGTGGCAAGGGAGGGAAGAAGGGAAGAGCAGCTGAAGCTGTTTGGTTTGTTCTTAAATAGTACAGGCTGAAAGGGTACTTGGGGGCACGTCTGGGCTTGGGGACAGTTCTGGGCTCCCCAGGACAAGAGGAATGTGGAGCTTCTAGAGAGGGTCCAGCAGAGAGCAACAAAGATGATGGAAGGGACTGGAGCATCTCTCATATGAGAGAGACTCAGCGAGCCGGGCCTGTTTAGCCTGGAGAAGAGAAGGCTGAGAGGGATCTTATCACTGTGTATAAATACCTGAAGGGTGAATAGGGAGGAAGGGGCCAAGCGCTTCTGAGTGGTGGCCGGTGACAGGACAAGGGGCAATGGGTACAAGTTGAAACCCAGGCAGTTCCATCTGCATGTGAGGAGGAACTGCTTTCCTGTGAGGGTGACAGAGCCCTGGCACAGGCTGCCCAGGGAGGTTGTGGAGTCTCCTTCTCTGGAGGTCTTCCCAACCTGCCTGGATGCCGCCCTGTGCTCAGGGTGTCCCTGCTGGAGCCAGCGGGGTTGGACTAGGTGATCTCCAGAGATCCCTTCCAACCTCAACCATTCTGTGAGACAGGGAGAGGAAGGCAGAGAGGTAACAACAGAAATGGTAAACAGAAGTGTGTCCTCTTGTGTACCTTTCTCTTCAATTTTAATGAAAATAACTTATCTAAAGCTGCTGTCTGGATACAAAGTGATGGCATGAAAGGAGATCTAAGTTTGAAGAAACTCAGAGCACGATGCGTTTCTAAATCTCCTCCCTTTTGCAAAGCAGAAATCACTCTAGCAGCCGCATGCAGCAGTGAAAACGCGGTCTCCTAGAACCAGTTTCTTTAGCACTTCTCTGTTAGACTGGGCACCTTCTGTGAAAGCCCCGTTGCGGTTGGCTGCAGTGTGAAGGGCTGTTTCTCCCCTTCTTCCAGCAGCCAGCGATTCCGCTTATTTTTTGAAGCTCTTTCCTCTGCTAGGGGCCTGCTGACCGAGAAGGCGGCTCCGGTGATGAACATCATTCACAGCATCTTCAGCCTCATCCTCAAGTTCCGCAGCCAGCTCATCTCGCAGGCGTGGAGCTTGGACGCGGGCACGCGGGCGGCCGTGCACCCCAACTTCGCGCTCATGCAGCAGTCCTACAACACCTTCAAGTACTACTCCCACTTCCTCTTCAAAGGTGAGAAACTTTCCTCTGCAAAGGTGAGAGGCGGCCCGAGCTGCGGCCCGAGGGGCGGCAGCGGTGACCCACTCGCCTGCCCTGTGTCCTCCACGGGCATTTCAGGAGCCAGGTATGCGTAGCCAGCGCCTTCCCGCTGCAGGAGGGGTCTGAAGTGAGAAACACTCCAAATAAATATCTGATAGTTAGCTAGATATGTGCTTACATTTTCATTTTCTGTGCAGTTGGCTTTTGGGACTCGTTACTGGCAGCAGTGAGAGTTAGATACAGCTTGTAAGCAATTTTTTATTTATCTGCATTACTTGAATATTGCTGTTCTTAGTAGCGTTGAACATGCTGACTCCCGTTTTGGGCTAAGGCTCTGAGTCTCCTAGACTCCATAAGCTCTGCTGGGAGAGCCCGTGCCGCAGGCAGGTGCTCTGCACCTGCACAGGTCCTTGGGCAAATCCCATGTGTCTTATAACATGAGCAAATGTCTTCTGGCTGCCAGGCCAGCCTGCAATATGAATAAGTGGTTGATCTGCTTGGCTCTTAGTAATAAATAAATGAATTAATTTATACTTGCCCTGAATGCGAAGGTGGTTCCTGTTTGGTTTTGTTTAGAAATTCCAGCCCCGAAGGGAGCTGCAGCTGTTTTCCATAGGTGAATTTTCTGCGATATTCTTCCAGTCAGCCTGTATTCCTCAGGAAATGAGCTGGCCTTCTTATTCTTTAAGGGTGCCCCAAAATGGTGTCCGAGGATCAGACCCAGATATTTCAGGATGAGTTAGAGTGGCTGCTTCCCAATTCGGCAGGAAGCCAGAACGCCTCGGCGGGCTGCCCGAGCTCCTACTACGAGATCTATGGGTGCTTCATGGACAGAGCTTAATAGACCGCTCCGTAAGGAACCCTGCCAAGCCACCTGGTCCTTTTCCCTCCTCCTGAGCACCACCAGGCCCCGTGTGCTCGTCCACGTGCCCTCGGCACCGCCACCGGCAGAGCCCCCTTCCACACTGGAGCCCCTGGCACCAGCGCCGGCACCTTCCCGCTGCGTCGGTCCCGCCTGCCGCCCTGCACCTCGTGCATGGGGCCTGCGCACAGGCCGCTCGCGGGGCACCTGGGAATTGCCCTGGACTGCCTCTGTCCCGGCGGGTTTCCCTCAGGAAAGCTGCAGAGGTGCCAGCCGCATCCCAGCGCGGCTCCCGCAGGAGCGCTGGCACCTGGCAGTCCCTTTGCAGTGCTTTGTATCGTCAGCAAGAGCCACCCAGCTGCTTCCCATACACAACAGGAAATGCTTTTCCTTCTGCCGTTTTCACACTTTTGCAGTAGGGTTTAAAAAATAATAGTTAAAATAGAGAGATTCTGTCAAGGAATGACTGGCTTGGGTCTATAAACCTTAAACTTGTTTATTTTCCTTTTCTTCTAGTGGTAACAAAACTCGTAAACAGAGGCTACCAGCCACACTTGGAGGACTTCCTGCTGCGGATCAACTTTAACAACTACTACAAGGATAACTGAGCTGCCGTTCAGCACGCGGCTGAGCGTGGGACAGCGGGGAGCAGCTCGGCCTCGCCGTATAGGATCCATAGGCGCTTCTGCAGCCATCACGCAGAGGCCTTTTTTGGGGGGAAACCCTCTGCTTCCAGCAGCTTGAGCCGCCTCACGTGCAGAGTGATGCCCCTGGAAGGCCCGGGCCCTGCAGGCTCCGCTGAGAACTGATGGCGTCGCTGCACCAAGGCAGGGGCCTGGTCGCCAGGGCCAGCGAGTGTAAAACTGTACATGTGTGAATGTGTAAATGTCTTATTTGCAGTGCTGTGAACTTCCTCCCTGTACATACGCACATGTGAAATAGAATTTATTATGTGACATGAATTCAATGCTGCTGTTGAAAGCTTTGGGGAGGGGAGTATGAGCTACAAGGGGTCGGCTGTGTCGCTAGGTATTTATTTTCAGATTGCCAGTGACTCGCAGTCGATGTGTGCTAGTGAAGTTTAAGGCTGGTAATCACAGTGAACGAATGTGATAAAACCAGCCCAGGAGGAGAGCTGTCCGTGCAGCTGCTAAGGGCCAAGTGTTTCTTTCCCCTCGGCCGCCTGCCCTGCAGGCCACACGCCTGCCACGCCGCAGCCTCCCACCGGGGGTCACCCCAGAGGAGTCACAGCTGCACCCAGGGCCGGCAGAAACCACCCAGCTCCAACAGCAGCTGCTCCTGGGGACAGCACGAAGTGCCCAGCTCCAAGGATAGCTGGGCCTGGGGACAGCACAAGCCCTGCAGCTGCACCCAGGGACAGCACAAACCCCTCAGCTGCAGCTGCGCCTGAGGGCAGCAGGAAGCGCCCGGCTTCAAGCGCTCTGTTAACTCACCTGCTGTACTGCAGGGATTGGGTTTGGGCTTGAAGAGCTTCCTCCCTCCCAGGGCTCTGTAGCAGGTCCAAAGTGATTCCTTACCTATAAACAAAGCCCAGGGCTTGCAGAAAAATCCCCCCCTTAGGCCCTCTTCTTATTCATGTAGTCAGTAAAGGCCACAGAAGCAAGTGGGAGGTTAGTTCATCGTGTGCAGCTTGAGGACAAGCTCAGCCCTCCACTTCACCTGGATAGTTTTGCTAGCCTGCTCTTCTCTGTATCATGTAGCTCTTGGAAATGCCACCTGCACAATAACCTGGCCACTGGCTTCTCAAAGTGCTGCAAGCAGCCGGAGCCCCGCGCTGCGAGCGGGCGGCCCAGCATTCACACAGACCTAACCAAGGCTGCTGAACGGCACAGCAAACACAGTGAAACACCCAGGAAACAAAAGGCAGGGACACGGACACTGAACTTGAGGGGTTTTTTTCTCCATGGAGGCTGCGAGGGCCCAGAGCCACCTGCTCACTTCATGTACAGCCCCTGAGTTCTGAGCAGGCTGTTTGATCAGTAACCAGTGATGTTTTTTGTTGTATCTGCTACAAATACAAGTTGTAAAATCAGGAGGTGATTTATGAGTCAAGCATTTGGAATGCCCTAAGTTCCAAGTCTTAGTCCTTTCCCTGTGACAATTGGAACCAAAGGCCCCATTTCTTGAGTCAAGCTAAACGCAGCCCAGCAGTCCTGAAGGGCTTGCAGTGACCTGGAGAGGCTCCAGGCACATGCACCGAGAGCCCCGTGGGGCTGCCGCTCCCGATCAGTGCCATCCTTCCCGCACACAAGTGCTGGAGCATCCAAAGCACTGCCCTGGATACGGCACCAGCAGCACTGACCAAAGGGGGGGGGAATTATTATTTTTTTTTTTTTTAAGACCTGACAACTACATCTCTGTGACACCAATGCCAAAACAAGCTCCTGTTGGAGTGTTATTCTCCAGCTCAGATTGGGAAACTCTCTGCAGACTTTTAAACGCTTTCTCGATGCAGAATAATTCCAATATCCATATGCAAAATAATTTGGCATTTAATTTGCCATCATCTACCTTGGCAAACCCCATGCTTTACTACTACTCTTTATATCATTTTAACAGAGATCTACTCCAGAGCCAAAAAAGGAGGTACTCCATATCAGACTTCACCTCCCGGCTATCACATAAAGCACTGCTTGTCAGGTCGTGCTGTGAGCAGAGAGTCCAGTAACAGCGGCCGCGCAGAGCGCTGCACCCTTCCGGCAGCCCCCGGGAACGGCCAGTCCCCGCTCCTCCACGCTCAGCAACACAACTGTGTGGTTTTTATTCATCTTTGCAGCTCAGACACAGCGCAGGGGACCACAGCTCTAATGGTTCAGCTAGAAGCACGTCTGAATTCTCTTGCCCCTTGCCCACTTATTTCCCTTCCTTGTCCCTCGCTTTATGTCCTTTGCACCCAGCACTGACTTTGTTTAAGCTGCCCCTAAACGATTTGGTTTCAGTGCCCTCATGGTTAGAGGCACCATGGCCTTGCGTGGGCTGTTTCAGCAGTCTGAAAACCCTTCAAAAATGGGTAGAGCCCCCCAAAAAGCAGCAGTATCACCCACCTCTGCTCACTTTGGGGTATTTCCTTTTCCGTTCTTCCCTTTGCCTCGGACAGGGGTTCACTCCTTCACAGTCTCCTTTCCTGTAAAGGCGCTGAAATGGCCCAGGAAGCACCATGTTGGGCACGGATGTTTATTACAGATGGATTATTCATGCAGACACACACAGAGGACCTTGATTGCTCTGTTTTTTTTTCTCCCCACAGTCCATATTTTGAGGAAGACTTAGAACAATTCAACCTGAGTTAACCCCAAAGCTTCATCTGAAGGTGGGGAGGAAGAGGAATTGAGAGGACGCTTTAGCTCACAGGGTAAGGCAGCAGCCTCTTTGGAAAGGGAAATCTTTGCATGAAACCAATCCTGTATATAAGAATACACAGGAAAATCAGCCAAGAAACCCAGCCTCAAGCCCTGGGTAGTTAATGGGGGTTGACGGAATCAACCAGCTCATGAACTGCAGCCATGGCCTCTTACTTAAGTCTTACTTAAGAGAGGTGACTCTTACTTAAGTATTTATACATGTGTATATTGTATGCATACATACTGAACCTGAATAAACTTTTCCACCAGGATTTCCAAGTATAAATAAATACTCTCCCTTAATTCTGCTCTCTTTGTGTATCACAAAGAACAAGATTTGACTGCTCCCCCTGCAAGCCCCAGCCTGCACCAATTCTCTAAAAATAACAATCAAATGTCATTCTGAAGGTTCACAAGAAATGAACGACGTAATTACATGAAACATAGCTTCAAATAAGCAACATTGAGCCTATTCCTCCATTAAAAGAGAATGAGAAGTCCCTGCACAGAAAGAAAAGCAGCAAATAAAACTGGAAAGTACTGTTAGGACATCAGACAAAAACAGATCAGATTCCTGACTTGCTCTTTTTGTCTTCATGTAAGAACAACTCCTCGGGATAGTTCAAGTTCTTTGTGCTTCAGCATAAAATATTGCTTTCTCCTCTAGGTGCAAAATGAACCCGGCAAGTCTGTCAGTGTCTAAGCATTTAGATCAATGGTGGGCATGGCCTGTCACTGGTCTGGTTAAGCTCATGATCCACCACTGCACCAGCTGTTGCACAAACACCCCAACGCAGGGCTGTTCTCTCCAGCTTCACAGCACTTTCACGGTTGCCTTGCTCAATGCTTCACTGCTGCAGAAGGATGACAGTCTTCAGCTTACAGCGAAGGACAGGACAAGGCAGTTAGGAAGATCACGTAACGCAGAGCTCTGCGGCCCACAGGGGAGGTTTGCTGCAGTAGGACGCTCTGCTTGTGGCCTCCTGAGCACAGGCCCCAGCAGTTGTGCCCTCCTCTGCTTCTTCCTCTGCCTCCCTGGCACTTTCTATTCCTTGGAAGGGATTCTCTAGAAGTTTCAATACATTTCTTACCTAGAGAGAAAACACAGCGTGGTTATGAGAATCTAGAAAGAAAAGGCAAACGACATAGAAAACCTTAAACCAAATAATGATAGAGTTTATTCTAATTAATACACGAACTCCAGAGGTAGAAAGGGCCAAACACGAAAGAAAAGAGCTGAAAGCTCTTTTCAGCAAACAAGCTGAAAAATATAAATTCAAACAGTTATTTTATAATGGCACTTATGTTCAAATAACTTCCAACTTCAATTATAAGTCTTAAATACAAATTCTCATGTTGCTTTGCTCAAAATACATTAATTTGTCTGCATTCTGCAGGCAGCAGTGAACTCTACAGTTAAAGCCATCACCATTACAAGTCACCATTTCTCATGAAGATGCAGACAAAATTAATCTCAGTCTGTTGGGTAAAATACCAGGAGTGAAGGTGTAAGAGAGGAGACAATATGGCTGGATGTCCTGTCCTGCAAAGATCAGCCCTCAGAAGCTGCTCAAGTTCAGGTTTTCAGCTTCCTCCTCTGCTCTGCAGTCACTGCACCCACAGCTACCTCAGCAACACCACAGACCTTCAGAGCAGCAGAGCCCCAGCTGCCTTCCTGCCCAGCAGGCCACACTGAATCTCACCCGTGTTTCAAGCTGGTTTTGCACAAGGACAAGTTTCCAGAAATGCCGCTAGAGAGCCACACAAACCTGCAAGGATGCAGGCAGCAGCCTCCTACCTCTGAGAAATCCCCGTTTTCAGCTGCTTCTATTGCATTCTGAGCGATATAGTTTCTCAAGATGTATTTTGGATTATTTGAATTCATAACTTTCACACGATCTGTATTCCAGACATCGGCACTGCCAGCGTTTTCTACTTCTTTCTGTAAACGGACTCTGAAAATAAGCAAATAAACACGTCATTTTGTTTGCTTCAAGAATCACATGTAAAAAGTGACCCATTTTCTGGGGATATTAAGAGCTCAAACTAAGGATCTCAATACAGTATTAAACAGCAAGACAGATACTTATCGTTCAGTAGATTAGTACCAGCCAAAGACTTTGGTTTCCATTCTTACACTCATATACTTCTCAAGAGAGAGGGTCCTTTCAATATGACAATTCCTTGTTCTTGAATAAGAGGCAGAACAAGTATTCTACTAGGAATGCTGATATACGGCCTCACCTGTATTTCTCCAGCCATTCTTTCCAATGTCTTTGATTCCTACTGACTATATCAGCTGCTGTGAGCTGCTGCAGCTTGGAGAACTGCTCAATACGCTCTAATTCTTTATTGATATTAGCTTTTGTTCCAATTAATGCAAAAAGCTGAGGGTTGGACTGAGCCAGCATCAGCATCATTGACAGCTGTCTGGAAAAAAAGAGGAAAAATAGCCTCATTAGATATATTAAATTCAAGCAGTCTGCTCATGCCTGTATTTTATGATCCTAAAGTAAACAATATATTCACAATAACCTATGATTTCAGTAAAGAGGTTAAATACCAGTACTTTATAATTTACAAAACAAATTTTTAATTAATTGTTGTCATCTTACTGTTTCCTTTCCTTCTGCAGTATGTTCAGTTTGCATTTCTGAGAGGCATCCTTTCACATTCTGAGCTACTAATTTGCTTTAGATGCATAATTCTCAAAACCACCCAGATACCTTGAAAAAACATCCCCAGCACTTTTATACAGCATTGATTATGTAGAATTTGAACTTACTTAGGTACCAAAACAATGTAGCACTTATTTCTTGGTTTCATACCTTTTCATAAATTGGGCAGTAATGCTGTGAAAAACTTTAAAATTAAAACTCTAAAATTCATCTTACTGATACTAAAAACTCAAAATGACATAAGGAAAAGACACTTAAGGCTATTTTTAACTTAAGCAACTTCAATCTAAATTACAGAACAGAAACTTGTTCTGTGGTAGTAAATTCCAGGCAAAAGCCAAGCTCTTTTATTGCATGTTTACCCTTTCACACAAGGCTGAGTCAAAGGCACTGTGCGGCAGCTTCATCATATTCTGAACATCACATTATATGAGGAAAAAAGAAGGCTTAATAACTGCATTATAGCAAAACATAAAAACACAATAAAACAAATACTGTAAGTTACAGAGTATTAGAATATTCTCTGCATCTTTATGTTTCTTTCTGCAGATGAAGGCATAAAGGAGAGAAGAGACATTATTCCCAACCTTGAAAACCAACATCACTAAAAAAAGTAAATATCCATAACCTTAATTTCTTCCCCTTTCTACTCAGGGCATCATTTATCTCCAGAATAATAAATGACTATAAGAAGCCACTTATGTGCAATATCAAACTTGTATAAACAAATTCCACACAAGAGCAGCCAGAACAAGTCCATCTTCTCAGTTATGTGCTCTGGCCAAACAGGAAAGTGTGATACCTGCAAACAGCAGCACTAAGCACAGAGTTCAGCAGGTTCAGTACATTCACAGAACATTTCCTAAACATAGAGAAGTAAAAAGCCCTACTCAGGATAACCCAAGCTGTGATTTTTTTTCCGCATCTGCAAAAGGGTTAGAAAGAAAAAAGAAACAGTCATCATATTCACTGTTTGCTTTTCACTGCTTTAAAAAAAAAAAAAATAAAAAAAAAATCAAACACCCAGCACCTATCTCCAGGCCCTCTACAAACTAGCTGCAGAAGCAGATTTGCTACTTTTCCACTCTTGCAGCAGCTGGGCTGGACAATTGGGCCCATCAAGAGAGCTGGATGGCACCAAGCAGTATCTGAGTACGGAGTGTATGTTTGAATTGAATTCAGCTCAGAATATTGGTGGCTGGAAGCAGTTATTAGCTAAATGTGCACTGGCAGAATGCATGCAAGACTTTGTTTAAATCTATCTCCCTATAAAATATTACTGCAGCACTTCACTATTTGGCACTTCCATTGGTTTGGTCAGCAAAGTGGGGAAAAAAAGGAAAAAAAAAATGCAAACTAAAGCAATTCAAACCATACCCAGCCTAGAGGTGATTTCTGAGAATCCTTCAGCCACAAAACACACAAACAAGTTTGCACTGCTGTGCATTAAGATGCATTTATTTAACAATGATATTTCCCAGATTTAAAATCAGTTAACTATTACTAAGTTCATTATAATACGATATGATAAAACTAAGAACACTGTCCAAAAGCAGAGAGATCTATTACATGATTACCTTGGATCCATTTGGGGTTTGAAAGCAACTTTGAGTTCCTCCAAGGAAGCACACTGACCCACTAGCTTCTCTAAGAAATCTTCTAGTCTGGAAGTATCAGAATCTACTGAGAATGAACTCAGCAAGAAGAAAATATTTGTGAAGTCTCCACCTGAAAAGTAAAATCCATGAGTAATGGAACTAACTAGCCAGTAGGAAAATAAATCCCACAAATTCCTTCCCAATAGCGGCCAGTCTAGACCGACAGACAAATGCAGCAAATTTCTGCCTGCCTCTTGCTCGGCAAGAGTGTAGATGTGACAGAGGGAGGGCCCTGCATCAAGGCACCAACTGCCCCGCAGTTCACAAGCACTTCAGTATCTTTCAGTCTTTCGCTCTTCTTTCAGATGACGATGTAGTCAGTCAAGGCTCCTTTCTCATAAAGTCATGATAAAAACTACATTTTGGTGGGATACTGTCATATTTACCAAGCTATGATTTGCTGTATTCCTCACCCACCTGTGAGATGCATAGTTTCAAGAAGTTCAGACACCAGCTTCTTATCATCTTCTAATTCCAGCTGAATCAATCCTAGCTTCTTCCTCATCTTCTGCAAATAGTGTTTCTCAAATTCTGCATCATACTCCTCTTCCAAGATGAGCTCACTGATTTCCAGAGGCAGCTCTGGAACTAAAGCTTCCGCGAGCTTTCCTAGATTCCACTTGCAAATTTCTGGCTGCTTGTTGTAAGCATAGCGTCCTGTATTATCAGAGCCATTGCAAATGTGTTCAGGGTCATATCTACAAATAAAGAAATAGTTAGTACTGGCGCCCACATAGCTAGAAGAATCTAAGCAAGGCTCTTCAGGAGACCAGAAGAGCTAAAAAGAGCCAAAAAGAGCCAATAACTTCTTATTGGACTCCTCCCAAAGCTGCCTAATCAAGTATTTTCCTGCCCTCTTAAATGCAGAGAAACCCCCCATGCTAGAAACAAAGCCTAACAGCAGAGACCTGCAATACAGAGGTACATGGAAAGGCTGAACAGAAGAATAGAGGGCAATCAGGACTACCTTAATCTACCATAAATAGAGTTCCTAAATCCATTAGAGAATTAAAAATATTCAAGCAATACTGAACAGTGTCAAGATTGGTGTACACAGCAAATACACACGCATATTTCAGCTTTGCCACACTGACCTGTCCATAAATCCAAAGGGGCCATAGTCAATTGTAAGTCCAACTATGCTCATGTTGTCTGTGTTCAGCACTCCGTGGCAAAAGCCAACGCACTGCCACTCTGCAACCAGTCTTGCAGTCCGTTTGGTTATCTAGGAGAGAATTTTCCTCATTTTTAAAACAAAACTTACAAACATTCTTATATTTCCAACAATCTGCTATTTTGAACTGATCTTTCTACAATTCTGGTAGAAGCAGATTCCGGCTTGTGTGCCACGTGCCTTAAAAATAGCAGCCTAAAAGCTGTCTCCCTCTCTCTTCCTTTTATTAACTGCCCAGCTCCTGTAGCTCCCATTTTGCTCCCTCTTCATGTCTACATTTAACTTAAAAGCCTTACTTCTCATAGGAGTCTTGCGCTAGCTACTTTAAGCTGGTTTCCTACATGCTGCTTTCCAGGGTGAAAGGCAAATGCCAGGAGGCATCCAAGTAGCTGTGTGTGAACAGGACTGACAATTAGCAAGCAGTAAACCATTAAGAGGCACACTCTGTGCTATCCAAGGTGCAAAAACAGGGAAAAAAAATGAAGGGAAAACATGTGTGCCCAGCAGACTGAAAGCACAGGTGTGTGATCTCAAGGCTGCACAGCTAATTAGAGACAGCTTTGCATCTCACACCAGCTTTTATTCTTTTTAACTGCATTTTTCTTCTGCTGAAAATATTATAGCCATGTGCAGGATAAAATGTCCTCTATACAAACAAAAACCGTGCTTTTTTAAATGTAAGAAACAACTACAAAATACTTGAAGAGATAAGTGTGTTTATCTAGTAGACAGTGCTGTCAAGTCCCTACTCTCTGGCCCATTTCTTCTGCAGTACAGAAAGATAAAAGCATGTGAGAGTAGAGCTGCCAGCATTTGCCTGCGATCAGCAAAAAACAGAAGTGCTAGAAAAAATTGAGACAGCTACAGAGGAGAGCAAACATGAGATATACAAAGCTGGCTATGACAGGAAGCCAGGAAAGCCCTGGACTGGAAAAGCACAGCAAGGGAGAGGAGACAGTGAGCAGGGGGCACAGGGAAGGGCAGGGATAGGTTGGAAGCAACAGGGATAGGAAAGGAAGGCAAAAGCAGCAAGACTTTTGCAAGGACTGGAGTGGGACAAGAGAGGAGCTGAGGTTAAATCATCTTTGTCACCCACTGCTGCAGAGCCCTTTGAGTCCCATCGTTGCTCTGCCATAGTCTACGTCCTAGGAACCATGCCACCAGCTACAGGGCAGCACAGGCCCACAGCAGGTGACAATGTATGATCATCATCACTGCGAGCACAAGTCTGCTCAGTGAAATTGGACCTTCAGCACCACAGGTGAGCCCTGCAACAGCTGTCTGCTAAAGAACCAAAGCAACCGCACATATTTGGGGTTAAATTTTCACTTTCAAAAAGCAATTTATTTCCTTTTTGCTACTTATTTTCTTGCTCACTCAGACAAAGGAATATTTAGGGAAATTCAGTATCAAGAATAGCAACGCATTATCTAACTGCAAGATGGGAAAGGATGTTCAAGAGAAAGTTGGGATACCAAATAATTCAGGTATATTTTACTTCAGAGGTAAATAGAGCAATTTAATATTTACAAGCATTATGTTTAAAAGTTCAGTTTACATGAATTATGATTCTCTAGAAATAGTTAAGTTCTGAGTTTATATGGTAACTGATTTCTTAAAGTACCATTTTTGATCTTGTTTTCATCTAGCCTTACCTCTGAGTCATTATGGAATCACCTAACACTACCCGATTCCTAGGGCATATTTGTCTCTTCTCATCTTACATTCCCAACATTGGTTGGGAAGTTTTGTTACTTCCTCAGAACTGCAATGTTTAAAGGCAGTCAGTCAATCTCAAATCTTAGGTTAACTTTCACTTGGAAAGTAAGAGACAAGAATTGACTAAACATTCTCAATGTTTTGCCTTACAGACGATAAGGTAACTCATTATCTAACAGTCAGGGCCAGAATTTCCCTCACACTCTGAAATACTGTGAGCAAACTGAGGGAACAGCCGTGGGAAGCTGTCCAAGGGCTGGAAAAACAACTTACTATTAAAGAAGCAAGAACTGCTTTCTTCAGTTTCATCAAGGAGCATTTCCATAGAGTGCTTTGTGTGAAGAGAATAATTCAAATAATCAAAAGACTCCAGATATTAATTGACTCTAGTCACCTGTGCTCACAGATGAGGTTCTTCAAGTCTACAGCTACAAATTTATGAAAGAAATTTATCTTACCTACCTCTTTAAAGAAGGCAGCATTTCTCTGAATGCTGTTGTCAGAATAAGCTTCCTGGATTTCCGGGTAGAAAGTGCCGATCACATAATCGAGCATTTGTATTCGAATATCATTCCGGTCAACACTAGGACCTTTGCGCCCTGTATACTCATCTGTCGGCTTAAAAATTTCAAAAGATCCAAACCTGTTTCAAAATAATAAACATGTTTTAATGTTATTTGATGCTATTAGCTTTTTTAATTTTACAGTTTTTTTTTTAAATATACAGTAAAAACATTAAGCATTATTGCAACAATGTAAGGGTCTCTTGAGTGTAATACTCAAGAAAGTATCTGGACTTCTATACTACTGTATCTTTAGAGCAGCTTTAAAACTAATGATAAAGCTACAACTAAGTAACCAACATTTCTGCCTTTAAAAACTTTTGCAGTTACATGCAGAAGCATAAAAAAAAACTCTAATAACATCTAAAACATCTATATATCTATATCTATACAGCAATATCTATACATCTACATCTATAGAACATGTACTTTGTATATGCCACGACACTCAGTGTTTATTTCCCTGTAGGCAAAAACAGGGCTCACCTCATCCTTTGGAAAGAAAGAACTGATTTCTATGGTTTAATAAAGAATTTCTAAGATTCCAGAACACAAAACATACAGGTGACACTGTTATGGAAATAAACACATACATAGACACACACACACACATATATATATGTGGGTGTATGTATAAGCAGGCAGACACATGTTTCAAAAGCTGTAGTGCTTGGTTTTCACATGAAAAAAGATTAAGTAGCCTTTCTACCTTAAAAAAGTCGAAGCTATTCTCAAGACAACTGTACACCTTTCGTTTTTTGGATTTCCATCATAAAATATGTCACGAACAACTTTCGAGTCAGACGTCACGCATGTTCCAGCTCTCGTTGTCGGTATTCCCAGGTGAAACATCGCCTCACTGCACAGGAATTCTCGGATACTTGACCGCAGCACTTTCCGACCATCAGCTTGTCTGTAACAGAGACCATTGATAGACTTGACTTTTAGGGTGCAAAGGAAGGAGTTCCCATTTCCAAAACAGTGGTGGAGAAGGAAAAAATATTAATAGCAAAATGGAAATGAGACATGATGTCCACCATCGTAAAACAAGTTGGTGGTTAACCTGAGAACAACAGAAGTTGGAAGATCCAGCTTTCAGAGTTCAGATTAGATGGACAGGACACTAGTGCAATGACAACTGAAGTCCAGTTAGTGATATCCCTACTGGACTTCAGTCCAGTACTAACTGAAGTCCAGTTAGTGATATCCCTCATTTCACATAAAGAACCCAGTAGGTTCCTTAAAGGAACCAGTAGGTTCCTTAAAACACAAACTTTTAAACAGGGCAGAGGACACTACTAAAGTAACTTGGATAAAAATTTTTACTTCGTTTTAAAAATGAGTGTTTTTTCAATACTTACTCAATACATTGCAGAATTTAAAGTAATACTACAGCTGTCCATAAGCAGGTTTTCCTGCAAAAGTAAAGCTGCAAACACCACCACCAAAACTTTCTAAATTCAGGTTTTCTTTATTAATAAAATGGCTGCTATTATGTCTTTTGAAAAAAAAAAAAAAAAAAAAAAAGAAGTCTTTGGATCTTCCCAGATAAGCAAGCTAGAAATGAAACATTAACTACGGACATAACTGTCTGGTAAAGATATTCAGCTAGTTTATTTAATACAGGTTCCTCGGGAAGCAACGGCTGCTCGTGACAGTTAACAGGCAATGAGGGCGGTTCAGAGACCTCTGGGCCGCGGGGGCGGGTCAGGGTCCCCGGGGCGGTAACGGCCGCGCGGGGCAGTTAACAGCCGCGCGGGGCATTTAACGGCCGCGCGGGGCGGGTCAGGGTCCCCGGGGCAGTTAACGGCCGCGCCGGGGCGGGTCAGGGTCCCCGGGGCAGTTAACGGCCGCGCTGGGGCGGGTCAGGGTCCCCGGGGCGGTAACGGCCGCGCGGGGCATTTAACGGCCGCGCGGGGCAGGTTAGGGTCCCCGGGGCAGTTAACGGCCGCGCGGGGGCAGTTCAGGATCCCCGGGGCAGTAAGGGCCGCGCGGGACAGTTAACGGCCGCGCGGGGCGGGTCAGGGTCCCCGGCGCGGTAACGGCCGCGCGGGGCAGTTAACGGCCGCGCGGGGCGTTAACGGCCGCAGGGCCCTCGGGGCCGCGCTCCTTACCGGGAGAAGGGCGTGAGGCCGGCGCCCTTGAGCTGCAGCTCCCAGCGCTCGCCGTCTGGGCCCAGCACCTCGCCCAGGTACATGGCGGCGCCGTCGCCCAGCTGGCCCGCGAAGCTGCCGAACTGGTGGCCGCAGTAGCAGTGCGCGGCGGGCTCGGAGCCCGGCAGCAGCCGGTTGCCGCTGAAGTAGAGCGCGGCCTCGGCCTCGCGCGCCGGCCGCTCGCCGGGCGCCGCCGCCTCCAGCCCCAGCAGCGCCAGGGCCGGCGGCGACCAGGCCACGAGGCGCGGGTTGAGCAGCGGGCTGGGCCGCGCGCGGCAGAAGCAGGCGCCGGGCACGGGCCGCGGCGCCGGCTCCTCGCTCGGGTCCACGGGCAGCGAGCGCAGCGCCAGGTTGTCGAAGCGCAGCGAGCCCAGCCAGCCGCTGTCCCCCGCCGCGGCTCGGGCCGCAGGAGCCGCCGCCGGCTGCATGGCGGAGCGCAGCGAGCCCGGCAAGAAGCGGCGCCCGGCGCGTAGCGCCGCGGCCATTCGCCCCCCCGCTGCCACGGGGCGGGCCGAGGGCGGCGCCGGCGGGACGCGGCTCCGGAGCGTCTGCGAGCGGCGCCTCGTCGCGGACACCTCCCGCCGGGGAGCGCGGAGCGGAGCGAGTCCGCGATGTCTTGGCTGAGCAGGGGGGCCAAGGCGAAGGAGAAGGAGGAGGCCGAGAGCCCGCTGAGCCAGGAGGAGAGAGGGCTGCTCGTGCAGGCCATGCTGGAGCACGGCGGCGACCCGTGGGACTGCAAGGTGATCGGGCAGGAGCCCACGCTGAAAGCGGCCGAGCGGCTCTGGGTAAATTACATCTCCATGTACCACCCCAAGGGTGAGAAGAAGTGCTCGGCCCTGCAGTGGCTGCTCTTCGATCTGGCGAGCGCCCTGCAGGCTGCTCTGGAGGAGAAGGAGCAGGGCATGAAGGGCCTGCAGAGCAGCTTGCAGGTGGCTAACGGCGAGATCCTGGCGTTGCGCTGCGACAACGCGCTGTTTAACGAGCAGGCCGAGCAGCTGCGCGAGCTCAAGGAAAAGCTGAGGGCAGAGAGCGCCGACAACGCGCGGCTGCGGAAGAAAGTGCAGTGCCTGGGCACCCTGCTGGCCCTGGGCAAGGGCCTGGACCACAGGAAAGTGGCGGCCTTGAGCAAGACAGATTGGGACCCGGAGACCTGGGACGGGGATAGCTGGAGTCTGGAGGACAAGGAGAACTCGCCAGCACAGGGGGCGGCCGCCGTGGTTCCTAGGAAAGTGAAGGCGGCCGAGGGAGAGGCAGCTCTGAAAAGCTCGGCCGTGGGGGATACGCGCAGGAAGGAGAAGGTCTGGAAGAAGCAGAAGGAGGGCTGGCCTGTGTGGGTGAACAGGGTCTGGACTCTGGAGCAGTGCATGGTGTTCACGACTGAGGAGGCGAAGCGTGTGGTGACGGCCATAGGGCTGCCCTGGCCGAAGGTGGGCGCCGTCATCAGAGCCCTGCCGGCCAGCGAGACGACTGGCGGCGAGATCCTCCGGCTGGTGATCCGGAACCTGGGCGAGTATGAGCCCCTCAAGGACAACATGGAGGGGGCGCCCTGGGCAGACGTGCAGGAGGCGGCTGCCTACGTGTGTGGGAATGTGCTGCTGCGCGTGCTAAAGCAGAGGGAGAAACCCGTGACCCCCGACTTTGACATTTACGGGGTGAACACGGAGCAGGGGGACATAGGGGTCCTGGCGTGCCGTGCTCCAGAGCTACACAAGGGCTTTTTCATCAGCCTGGGCTCTACCTTGATCGGCCGGCCCCTTGGCGAATGCATGGCCACCCTGGAGAATGTGGGGACGCTTATGGGGGCAGGTGGAGAAGGAAAGGCAAAGAAGGGAGCTGCGAGGGGCAAACCGAGGAAGTACATTCCCCGAGGAACAATTTGGAGATTTTTAATAAATCAGGGGGTGAATGAAGAAGAGCTAGATAGCCAGCCCACGGGAGTGTTACTTGCCAAAATGAAGAAAATCCTCCAGGAAAAGGGGATGAAGCAAGAGGAAGTGTGGGAGAAACTGGAGCAGATGACGCCATCGGTTGCTCCCCCTGTTCCAAAGAGAAAACTCTACCCGTCCTTAAGGGACCTTAAAGATTAGGAGTCCCTACCCCTGGCATCAGTGGGATTAACCTCTACCACACTGACCTGGGATCACAGGGGAAGGGGCTCCGTGGAGGCGCCGGGGCCCGTCGGGGTGGGGGGGTGGGGGGGAAGCTGCAAATACTTTCATAGTTGATACGGGATCAGAAATAACTCTGCTAGATTACCAGGGTCCTCCACTCCCTGGTAAATTGGTCTGGATTTGGGGAGTGGGAGGAGGAAAAATGAAGAGAGAAGAAGCAGAAACCCATTTGTGCATCGGGGAAAATAAATTGGAAGGGCAGATAATTCTGGTTAAAGGATGGCCGAATGTTTTAGGGAAGAGTTTTCTGTCTCAGTTCAAGGTAGATCTGTCCAAAGGAAAATGATTTTGTGTTGCTACCTCAAGAAATGAGGATATCACAGGACTCACCAAGTCAATGAAGTACTGAAGGCAGAGCAGGAGCGGGGCTGTTGGATGAAGAATACGAGGTGATTCCAACCAGAGAGCCCATCTTCCAGTGCCGGTACGGTACAGAAGCACAGCGGGGTCATAAAGAGGCTTGGGAGGAGCAAGAAAGGTTTAATAAGAGAAAATTTAGGAGTAATTATAGTTCTTTGATGGGGAAACTCAGTTCTAACTGGAAAAAAAAAGGAGAGATTTTATGGGTAAAGGGGACTCAATGCTGGGAAATCAAAGAGGCTGCTGTTAATAATTGTATTTCCTTGGGGAAAGATATCAACAGAATTTAATGCAAAGCCTTGATGAAGTCGGAAGGTCCTGAATGCCTGGTTTCCTAACAGGAATCAGGAGGAATGTTGGCAGCAGGGGGAGGGAGGTGATCCTGCCCCTCTCCTCAGCTCTGGGGAGGCCGCACCTGGAGTATTGGGGGCAGCTCTGGGCTCCCCAGGACAAGAGGGATGTGGAGCTTCTAGAGAGGGTCCAGCGGAGGGAAACAAAGATGATTAAGGGACTAGAGCATCTCTCGTATGAGGAAAGACTTAGCGAGCCGGGCCTGTTTAGCCTGGAGAAGAGAAGGATGAGAGGGATCTTATCAATGTGTGTTAGTACCTTAAGAGAGGGTGTCAAGAGGAGGGACAGACTGTTTTCAGTGGTGCCCAATGAGAGGACAAGAGGCACCAGCCAGAAACTAAAGCACAGGAAAATCTGCCTGAATTGAAAGAAGAGCTTCTTCCCTGTGAGGGCGCCAGAGCCCTGGAACAGGCTGCCCAGGGATATTGTGGAGTCTCCTTCTCTGGAGGTCTTCCAAAGCTGCCTGGATGCCACCCTGTGCCCCAGGAGTCACTGCTGGAGCAGGGGGTTGGACTAGATGATCTCTAGAGGTCCCTTCCAACCTCAACCATTTTGTGATTCTGTGGATTTTCAAGAAAACGTCCGGGAATCTATATGGCAAAAGGCTGCCTGGTAAACGTCATGGAAACTGTATAGAAGGTCAAGATGGCTTGAGATGTAGCAGGTACCACAGCAGGAGAAGTTGGTGCAGAAACCACAACAGTAACCTAGTTTGATGTTGAAACACTCACAGCTAAAGTAAAATGGGGTAAATTTTGGATTGTGTACAAGGTAAATTGGTAGCAAATTTCAGATTGTTGTCCAATACAACCACAATAACTACCTGGAATAGCCAAATATGCCATGTGCTAAAAGCAACTGCCAAGTTAAAAAAAAAAAAAAAAAAAAACTTTTGTACAAGATCTCTGGCTATCTGTTGTATTTGAGCACAATTGTTAGCTACTGATTCAGCGTTTTGATGCTTTGTGTCATGGGTGAACCTCTTTCTCACCAGCAGTACCACAGCAAGGTCCCACACGACGAGTTTTAACAGCTGGGTGGCAGAGATGTCCACCTTGCTTTGGCTGAGGGTTAGGAGGGGGGTTAGCCTTTGGAAACCCGGGTGTGATTCTGCCACTTTCCTTCATGCGTCAGTGGAGCTCAAGACATCGGGAGAAGGGTGGGCGGGACGTGAGGGCTGCAGGGGCAGCACCCCCTGCAGCACCCCCTGCCCTTGGCAGCTGCATGAGGACACAGGGGACAAGGAGAGGAGCCCGGTCTGCGCCTCAGCTCAGGGCTTGCTGAGCACCAGAGCCGCTGCCCGCTCTGCAGCGCAGCGGGTGCTGCGACAGAACACAACGGAGCAGTTCCCGCTCCGTGTCGTTCTCCAGGTATTTGTGGTGTGCGGCTGAAGCTTTCGCTGCGTTTCAGAGGACACATTGAGCAGCCAGCTCCAGCCTGCAGCGGGTCTGGGCCAGCCACACCTGGACTGACTTCTCCTGCAAAGGAAAAAGGGGGGGAAAATACCCCAAACAAACAAACAAGGCCCCACAAGCAATAAAGTCAGTCCCAACACTTAAGCCTGAAATTAAAGTTTATTTTGGTTTGAGAAAGAAACAGGAAACTAAGTACATGAGCATGGCAGAATTACACATAAGACGTGATTTGTTTCTTTTCCACGTGCGGTTCCCACTACTGCCTGGCACTTGGAGCCAACGCAACACCCGGTCGGGGTTGTTTCATGTTTCACTTTGCGCACACACAGGGCTTCCAGTGCCAACCTGCAGTCTTAGTTCGCCTCAAAACCCAATTACTTGGTGCAGTGCTCAGTACAGGAAAACACCCCCACACAAAGAGCGCAGCACAGACACAGCTGTGCTCCCCCAGCAAGCCAGGCAGCCCGGAACGGGCTCTCCCATTCCCACCGGAGACAAGAAAAACACGGCAGAGAGCGGGGCGAGAGCGTGCCTGTGTTCGCACGCGGAAGCGATAAAAAGCTGCTTGCTTTGAAACACTCCTCAAGATATCTCGGCACCAAACTCCTCCTCAGTGCTCGTTACTGCCACGGGAAGCTCTAACCCTGGGCTGTCCTTTTCTAGGAAATTTACTCGAACAGCCAAGGTCCCGGTTCCCCGCACAGCCCCTGCTTCGGCAGCAGTGCCAAGCCGGGGGCAGCAGCCGTTTTGAGGCGCTTCACTCGGGGCGCCGCGGCACCCTCAGGCCCCTCACAGAGCACGCGAGGCGCAGGCCCAGCCCGAGCCCTAATCCCCAGCCCCTGTGCCCCGACAAAACCAGCACACTCGCTCTCCCTGCCCTGTGCCAGGCTCTCAGTTAAGAGCACTTACACAGGGCAGCTAAGTTTCCATTTCCTGGGATCTTCAAGGGGGCTGAAAACATCTGTCAAAAGGCAACACACAGGGAAATCCATCCTCATCCATCCTCGTCCGTGCCCCGACTACAGGGGCTGGAGGAACCAGTTCCTGCAGTTCGGCACTGGAGCGCGGGGCCTCAGCAGGGATTTGCTCTGTGGGCCCGAGCCCCGCAGTGCCCTGTGCTGCTCACGGTGAGGCTGCGCACGAGGGCTCGCTTTCAGAAAACAACTAATGCAGAAAATAAATGCCTTTGACAGCAATGGTGGTTAAAATATTTTATTTTTTATATCACAGAACATACTGCTGTTCGCTTTAAACCACTTGAGATTAAAGGCACACGTTGTTAAAAATACTTCCAATTTACATCAGGTGTACAAGTGCATAAAGCAGATGTACACGTCACCCAAAATTACAATATGGCTTCGTAAGGTTGAGCTGGGGCTGGGACAATTCAACGTGATTTTACAGGATGCTGTTAACACTGGAAGGGCTGACGGGACTCGAACGGAACGGAGGGGACCCGAAACACTGATGAAGCCACACGAACAGCATGAGCCCCCGATGCCACGGCATTGAGCACTAGTGTGGGGGACATGAGAACGGGGTGTCAGCTCTGCAATCTCAGGCTTTGAGGTGCCTCCCACAACAACCCCCCTCCCGCAACAGCCTCCCCCAAGAACCGGCTGCTACGACTGTAGAATGAAACCCAAGACTGCAGGAATTCAGCACCGACACAGACCCAACAGCAAAGGACAGCGCACAGAACCAGAGCTACAGGATGGCTGAGGCTGGAAGGAACCTCTAGAGATCACCCAGTGCAACCCCCTGCTCCAGCAGGGACACCCAGAGCACAGGACACAGGGCGGCATCCAGGCGGGTTGGGAAGACCTCCAGAGAAGGAGACTCCACAACCTCGTGGTCATAGTTTCTGGATAAAAAGAACAGTAAGTCTGCAAGAATGCTCCACAACAATCACTTAGCATTAGTCCCACCCAAGTTTAAGGCTCTTATTTATTTTTTTCCCTCCTAAAATTTACCTTAGATTTGTCTTTTGTGTAAAATTACCTGAGCACAGATATTAAAGATCTGCAGAGCTTTTAAAATGTCTGCAGATACCTTAAAAATCTGTAGAGTTCTTAAAGCAAAACCTCAATGTATCAAACTCTACAGCTAGAATGATCTCAAATCAAAAAAAAAAAATCTTTTGGTGTGTCAGTAAAGCCAGGAGAGGAATGAGCTTAAGCTTTTGCTTTCATCTTTAGAAAATGTACACAAAATGTAACCCACTTACTCCAATAGGACCACTTAGTAGTAAACAATATATTAAACCTTTACCCCCCCAAAAAGAACCCAACAAAAAACGGAATCAAAACTCAGGCAGCTGCCCTAGTTTCTACAAATTGTTTCCAAATGCTGCTGCTTTGGATCCTGCCAGAGGGGTCTGCTTTTTTTCTCAAGCACTAACTGATGGAGAATGAGAGGAGAGAGGTGCTGATTCCACAGTGCTCCGTGTTACCAACTACACCTAGTGTCCAAGCGGGAATCGCTGCTGTTCTTTTCCGCTAAGCTTTTCCCTGCACAAGCGTTAAGGCCCTGATGGAGAGGAGCACGGAAGCACTTAGGAGCTCGGCAGGCTCGGGCCAGGTTGGAGAGGAGGCTTTGAGACAGAGAGGCAGCAGTGGCCGCCGCGCTGGGAGCTCCAGGAGCCCCGGGGTGCAGGGGCAGCAGAGTCGGCCAGGGCGGCAGCACCTCCCCTTCTATCACAAAAGCCTTGGAAAAAGGACAAGGCTGGAGATGCACGCACGTCCTTTTGGCAAACGGACTGTGTGGGAGCGTTTCCAACACAAGGCTTTGGGAATTCAGCCACCAGGCAAAGCGGTGTGTGGATTTCATTGAAAGAAGTTGGAAGCCACCCCCTCACGAAACTATGAAACCAGGACTCTTCCTCCTGCTTCACACACCCTCTCCCCAGAGGTTAATACAGATATGAACTGAAGGCAATCAGCAATTGCACGGGAGCCTGAGGAGCAAACAGCATCCCGGCATCGCCTGAGGGTTTGGATGTGACGGTTATCTGCACTCTTGGACTGCGACCAGCTGATTGCAGAGGGCACTTTACAACCAAGGACGGGCCTGTACCAAGGTACCCCCAAATCCCATTCAATATTAGCCTAGGATTTTAGAAAGAAAAATGAGAGATGGATAACAGTTGTCCTGACAAAATAAAATAGAAAACAAAATGAGAAAAATATCACAGCAGCTTGAAGTACCCATAATTCTTTGTATAAATAGCAAGGAGCCAAAAGAAAACACTACAGCTAGTTTGAAAAATTCAGTTGAGCTTCCATTTTATAGCAAATAGATTAAAATATTTATCCACTGAGAAATTATACTGATAAATAAGGTATTTCCATGTATCAAAAATGAGGGGCAGTTCCAGGCTTCTTGTCCCAGTAATGAAAGGTCTGAGAAACAAAAGCAAGTCGTACAGTAGTTCTAGTCTCTTAAATTTACAACACTGATTCCAGCAGGATTGGGCTAACTAATACAGATTAAATAACCTAATCTAGAGGAACAGAGTGTCCTGTAAACATGTGACACCAGCCACGCTGCCCCGTGACACAAGGCAGGGGAAGGAGAGCTCAGCCGAAGGCAACACTTCTGCTTTGCAGTAAGGCTTGTGAAACCTGTGAGCAGTGTTTGCATGACAGCCTGGAAAGCTCTAAAGGTTTTTTCTTTTAAAAAGCGTGTTTTAAGTATAAAACACTTACGGACAGATGTCCTTCTAAATCAGGTGTAAAAGTGCCTGGCACCAGAAATTACTACTAGGTATTACCATACCTAAGGAAAAAACCTAAAAATCACGCAGACAGGTGGACCTGACTTCTGAGCAGATGCACCCAATTTAGCTGCTCTGTTTCTGTTCCTCTGACAGAGTCACGAGCACACGCTCTTCAAGCTGTCTGTGCCACACCATTCCTAATATATATTATATATACAGCACGTCTTTGTATATATATTATATATTTGTGTGTATTTCATTTACCTCACTCCAGAGTCATGTGCTTTCATGCAATACACTTACCAAGAACCAAACTTACTCATTACATCATAGCTGGTGTAGCTTTCAGCATCAACACTTTATTACACAGTAATTGAGCTCTGTTGAGCACCACCCGGCTCCGACTTGAATCCTGCTCCTCTCCCTGCTCTTCCAGCGCGCTCCGTGTGTCCTGTTCCTGCCGCAGCCCGTGCAGCCCCCTGCTCGGCCTCTGCCCGATGGTCAGTGCTGGGCTCTCAGCTCTGTCAGCTTCTGAAGGTAGCTCTGTGCTGCAGGCATCGACAGGATGAGCCGCACTGTCCTTCGGCCTATTCGGTAGCAGCCGTAGCCCATGAGTCCAAAAACCGTCGCTTTTACGACAAATCTGAAGATCTTACTGGAAGCTGATGGAGGAGGCACACTGAAAGAGAGACACAAATGAAGTTAACGTTGTATCTGGGGAAAATAAAGTAGCTTCTGACCAAAACAATGATCATTTCCCTCCCTCCTTTAGAGGTGGGGGACCTTTCTGGGAGCAGAGGTCGTGCAGATGGGCAGTCTGTTCATCCACATTCACAGGCTGCATCCAAACTAAGGAAGAGACAACGTTACCCGCTCCGTGTGTGCCACTTATCGGCTTGGGACCTGCCTGGGGCCCCACCACACTACCCAGGAGGGCACCAGGAGCTCCCGAGGAACACTAGCAACTACACACTCCACAGAGCTCCTTTTAAGAGCATTATGTGCGAATGAGCAGTACGAGCAAAAGCCCAAGAGTAGTGCGGGCCCCAGCTCGCTGCCACTCAGATCCTTGGATCCTCGGGATCCCAGGACACTCGTGTGGGACCTGCTCCCACCCCTGGTGGGGCAGCGGAGGGCTCTGCCCCCAGGCTCAAGCAGCGCTGCCAGCGGAGGGCACTTGGTAGCCAGGGGCCTCGGAAGCACGGAGGCGGCTGCGAGAGCAGGGCCCGGAGCACCAGCTCCCCGGGGCTCTGCGTGCGACGCGGACACACTGCCACCCCATCGGGACGCTGCTCTCTGTGGCCTTAAAGGATTCCCAGCTGCTCACTCATTTATCCCGAAAACCCCACCGCTAAGGCACTTCCAAGCAGTTCCTATAGTGCAAAATCCTACAAGGCACCTCTAAACGAGGCAGGGATTGCCAGGAGGAGACAACCAGGTTCCATCTGGCACATTAAAGGAAGAGGCAAGCAAAGCTTGAGCAAGGCACACACTGAGCAAAGGATGGGCCAAACAACCTTCACACTCTCTACACTTTTCCCCAGGTTCAGTCCCTCAGTGCAATTTAGGGAGCAGGACCTGCAGGCTCTGCCTAGGGCTGGGCTTAGCACAAGAACCTAAAATGGGAAGCGTGGCGGGTGTCGAGAGCATTTTCAAGATCATTTTGCAACCTGCAAAGCACAGATACCTGTAATATCTTTAGAACTTCTCATTTTAGGGAGATGACACTCAGTAACACCGAATGCACAGTTTTGCTTTGCATCTGCAATGTGCCCACCCCAGAAAAATAAAAAGATTAACAAGAAATGGGAATCTGAATGCCACCTAAGAATGTCATTTGCTTTTTATCATTTGTGCCTTGTACGCTTTTAGAAAGCCAGGTTCAGGTGATGTTAGCCCCTTCCAGAAGTTCAGTTCCTTCCCTTACATTCAGTTACTTTGCCTGGCAGGGCACAGACGCCGCGCGAGGGCCCAGGGCCTCTCAGCAGCTGGCTGCACTCGAGCACGAGCTCCAAGAGATCCTGCTGCTCCCACGTGCCCTGAAAAAACAGCTAGGGGCAACCGCGATTCCCAGAGCCGTCCTGGCCCTGACACCGTCAAGCTCTGAGATAACACTTCATATTCACCCAAGCCAGAGCAGAGCCTGGTTTTGCATCTGCTGCCTCCCACAAGCCTCACCGGAGTCCTGAGTTTTAAAGCCCCAGATAAACTTTCTCTCCAGCCAAAGCTGTTTCCTCACATTTGGCCTGATCTCCAGCTACTGACTTCTTCCCTTTGGCTCTTCCTTCCCTTTAGTGCAAGCAGTGTGTTCAAGTATTACACAGCAAGTCAGGGAGCCCTGCGGCGGCAGGGGCAAAAGCAGCAGTGACTCCTGATGCTGGGACGAGTAATAACCCAAAAAAACCCCAAACTCATCACCAGCTATCAGCAAGAGGAGCTGCTAACCTCAACGGGAAGGAAAGGACAACGTTACCTCAACGGGAAGGAAAGGACAACGTTACCTCAACGGGAAGGAAAGGACAACGTTACCTCATTATTTCCTGGATGTTCAAGTCAGAGTTCCAGTTCTTCTCAATCCCAGGTACGTGGCCCATCCCAACGACACCCACCACAACAGATGGGATGTACTGTCTAGGTTCAGCTACGGAGAGAGATGGAAGGAAAGGATCACATCAGTAAAAAACAACTGCAAACTGTGAAGGAAATGTGTGAGATTATAAAGCAGTTTTTTTTTTTTTTTTTTTTTTTTTTTTTTAAAAAGAGGCAGGTCCTCCTAATACTACATAGTTAAAATTTAATGTTACATAGCAAAAGTTAACAGGTATCTTTCCTATTGTCTCTCATGTTCCCAGCCTGAACAGATCCCTGCTCCGTGGAGATTTGCTTTTCGGGAGAAGTTTGTTCTGGCCAACAAGAGGAAGCGGGGCTGGTGCTCCCGGGAACGCTGCTCCCGGGAACACTGCGGGATGCAAACAAAGCCTTTGTGCTGTTGACAGCAGAAGGAACCCCAGGACTAGGGGTCAGGTTGCTCCCCACACTGTATTTTGTGGTCCAATCCGTTTATAAGCCCTTCAAAGGTAATACATAAAAGCCCCCTCCAGCTCCAGGGATCTGCAGTTATCCACAGGTCTGTCCTCTGCCTCTGGAGGCAGCCGTCCTTTATGGCAGGGTAGCTGAACAGACAGGTCCCCTTTGGCTGGGCCAACAGCCTCTGCAGAGCAGCTCATTTTGGTGGCAAGTGCAGGAAAACTAGGTAGTGAGATGCAAAAACACTGGTGCAATATCCCCACTGTTATTATTATCCTCACTATTATTATTACAGTTATTATCAATTGACAAGACAGTGCCAGAAGTTTTGCACCACGTGGCTGCAAACAGTATTTTCTCAAGACAGCCAATAAAGAGCAATCCATATGCTTACACGCCTATGCTTCTATAGGCATATGCTTACACATATCCCAAGGGCACGCAGAGCACGCACAAGAACAAGGGGATTTGCCAGGCCAGACAAACACCGTTCTGGAAGAGGCCACTGTGAGAGAACAGCAGTGCTGCTGTGTTTTTCTTTAGGCCCTGTGATCTCCTGCAGCCCGTGGCATATGTTTACATATGTCTGTAAAACAGACCCATGGGGACTCCAGGTTTCCCAGGAAGTAAATCTGAGCACCGGGACACTACAAACACTTTGCCAGGGATGGGGTCTACCACAAAACACTTACTTTCTGAAGCTCGAGGTAGTTCTATCTGCTTTGCAGCTTGCTTCAACATGTAGGTCAGGTAAACATCTCGTTCCGAGACAATAGTGCGATGAAGATCGGGAAATTCGCCGATCATTTCTGCCATCATCTGCTCCAGCAAATCCTTCTGCTTGCATTTCTCCACATCATCCTTACTGAAAGGAAAACACATTTTGTGGGTATTTATTTAATGATTTCAAAGCCTGAGACAGACTGACAGCAAAAGAGCAACTTTAAGGGGCCATTCCTGTTAGACACACATACATGCCAGGCAGTTCTCTCCAGAAGGAGAGCAACCTCCCCAAACCTGTGAAACTGGGTATTTCACAATGCCTCTCAAGTCAAGGAAGGGGAAAGACAAGAGAGGGCACTTGCCTTTAGGCACTTCAACCCAATGCTTTTTCACACTTCCCTGTTTGCAAGCAATTAAACTGAGCAAGAAGCACAGGGGTTCAAGAGCAGCAGTACACGTGGCTCCCAACATCTCAGAATACATCAGGGAGCTCCACAGCAGCAAGGCAGCCGCCTCTGAGGAGGTGATTCCGAGTTCCCAAAGAGGCATTGGGAATACACACACCCTGCACGGGGCCAGCCTGAGGAGCGGGAAAGAGCTCTGCAGGTTTCTAACACCAATCACAAGCCTTCAGCAGGGAACTTTTTAAATCCCTGAATGGGAGAATGTTAAATGAACAGGGAATAGAGAGGGCAAGAAACACAGGAGCAAACATGAGGAGCTTCTGTATCTTTTAACAGTGCTGTTAGTCTTCTGTTTGCTCTCAGATGCAGTTTGCAGCAACAGGTAAGTTGGTTTGCAGCCCTGCCCACCGAGGGCTGATCCCATCAGACCTTCCCTTAACTCCTGAGGTCAAAGACTGGATGCCGCCTTGTGCCCCGTGCTCTGGGTGTCCCTGCTGGAGCAGCGAGGTTGGACTAGGTGATCTCTAGAGGTCCTTTCCAACCTCAACCATTCTGTGATTCTGGGACACTACAAATGGAAACAGGGGCAACCAAAAGGAGAGCTTTCAACAAGTCACCTACCACCCAACTGACACAAACTGATAGTGAATTACAACTCCCTTTCCATCAGAATCACATATCGATACCTCAGTGATCATGTCTATACAGCAGTTCCCCCCACTATATATTTTTTTTTAATATTTGTAAAGCCACAAATTTCACAAATCAATTGTACAAAGTTTAGATGAACCTTTATCCAAATTTAAATTTCACCTGTGAACTTGCATTCACCTATCATGACTACAGGTTAACATTACAGTTGAAAACCAAAATATTCTCAGGATAAGTGAAGGAATGGAAGCAGTTGCAGAGAAAAACATACTCCAGTGTCCCCCGCTCCCCTCCCCAACACTGTAAATAGCTCCATGCTTCTATTAGACTAGCAAAGAAATAACATTTACTTTGTGTGTGAACTCCAGATAATAAAGTAGAAAAAAAAAAAAAGATTCAAATTCCCCTTATAGCTAAATGTGGTAGCAAGTGTTTACAGGAAGCAAATAAAAGGTAAAACCACATCAAGAGTGGCTTGATTGAGCCCTGAATGTCTTAAAAAAAAAAAAATCCAATCCCAGGACCCTGATGGCTCTGTGGGCTACACAGAGCTCCAGCCGCAGGCACCAAGGCCAGGACGGAGGCTCAGGGACCACACAAACTGCCAGCCCGTTTCTGGCCAACCTGCCACTGCTGCAAGTCTGCTAGAAACACCAGGAATTTTGTCCAGGAGACCTGCTGGGCACAGGGTTCACCCAGGCCAAGCAGGTTCCCTCTCACCTGTGGGCTGGAGCAGAGTGGAAACAATCGTGGCAGGACATTTCTCTGCAGGGTAGGGGAAACCAGGCTGAGCAAGCAAATAACCATCTGAGAAGTACTGCTGTAAGACAGAAGTTCCTAAGGAGGCCCCTTTATAAAGGCAGCATTAAGTCATACAAACTTTTAAATGTTTTCTCTTGGTCAAAAAAAAAAAAAAAAAAAAAAAAAAAAAAACAAACAAAAAAACAAAAACAAAAACAAAAAAAAAACCACCTGCTCAGACAGGCAGATGTTGATTCAGTTCTCAAGCTGCCCTGATCCTGATGTGACTTTACACAGTAGACCTTTCCTTTGGAAACCTTAACGAAGTATATATTAGCACAGGGACAAGCCCATTCTTGTCCATTTAGAAAATCCATGTGCTGATAACGGGCAAGGTTTTGTGTTCAGTAAAGGAAGAGACAAAAAAAACATTTTTTTTGTTTGAGTAGTGTTTGTTTCTTTGGGTGTTTCACACGAGGCTGCCTACTGAAGCCTTTCAGCTCCTCCTCGAGTCAACATGAAGAGTTGAAGAAGTTGCCCTTGGAAATCAGAGGGAAATTCATACCTGATTGGGTCAGATAGGAAGCAAAGGCCCCAAGCAAGCTTGACTTTTTGCCAGAAAGAAAGAGCAGCAATTGCTCTCTTAAAAGTAACAGGGATGGGTCTGTCTCCAAGATGAAATTTACAGAAAGGTACTTTACTAGCCTGGAAGAGAAGACACAAATTACCATGCAGCACTTCACATTACAGCAGTAGTCACTGCCAGCTTAAATGTACGTTTGTCTTATTATGTTATCCTAGGTATTTTACAAAGAAAAAAAAAAAGAGGAGCAAAACAGTTTCACAATTCAAAGTTTTGGGGTTTGCAGTAACTTTTTCCATATACTACTTTGTAAAGGAATATGTCATCCAATGGTTTCAGTAAATTTACAGTAAACCCATGAATTTAATTCCATCCTCTTTTTATTTTCCTGTTACATAAACACAAAGCACCTTTTTATGACTTTCGGCAAACAGATGGGGCTAAATACCTACCTACCCAGGCTGGAATAAAGTGGCAAGCAAAACGACTTTGAACATTTTGCTTTTAACTGGGATTCCTCAGGATTAAATCTGTCCAACTGTTTGTGAGGATACAATAAACTGAGAACTGGAGGAACTCCAAAAACAAAGACTAATACCAGGTGAGATTTTGCTAAACCATTGGTCAACCAAACCTATGTTATACTGGAAAGCTCCTCAATAAACATGAGTTCTAAAAAATTCCAAAAAACCATTTTAGAAGGAGATGGAGCCATTACTATTTGAAATTTTTTTTGGGGGGGAGAAGTAGGGACAGGATGGGACGACACAAAGTCTGGTCCAGAATACACAGAAAAATGGGCCTTGAAACAATTTTATTTTTATTAAGAATAAATACAAAGAATTATTCCAAAATGGAATAATTTGGAAATTATGATGTGTTTCCCCTTTTAACACAGTAGAGATAACCACAAAAATTGAATAAAAACAGGATTATCATTTAGATGGAGTTATTTCACCTACCCAAAACAAACAGCTAAACCCCTCAGTTTCTGTTGGTGGTCTTATTGTAACATTCTCACTATCCAACAACAGTTATTCAACAAGAACAGAAAAAGTTAGCTATTAATAAAACCAAAATAAATGCCATTAACATGTCACTGGGGGAAAAAACCCAACATTTAAAGCCTTTCTGGTGCTGCCTTTGTGTCACTCAGGGCTGCAAACCTCTGTGGCTTGAGTTTACTTTGAGGCTGCAGATAACTCCCACAGGCTTCAGTGCAAACACCTGCCCAGGCTCTTTCCCAGCAGCTACAAATGGCCTTGTTTAGTCCGACTGCTTAGTGTGAGTCGGGAGCAAAAGGCCAGCAATTTGACCCCCAGAACCATTTGGAGTCCTCACCTCTTTGAAAGCCTCCCTGAATTCTCCGCCTGGGGCCATGCCCAGCTGCTCCGTGATGTGGGCAGACACCTTCAGAAGCAGCATCTGCATCAACCCAGACATGACTCCGTTCTAGAGGAAAGGGGAGAGAGGAAAAGAAGAACATTAGGAAAAGAATCAACAAGCTGTTTGGATTCCTGAGAGGAAGGCACTGTCAAAAATTGTTGGTTATCTTGCTGAAGAAGAAATACTGAGGCCACCCCTTGGAGCCAGCTCAATGATGAACACAGACCTTCTATTTCAGCCTCTATCATTTGTAAAGTGGCTTTTCACTTTAGCCTATAACAGAGATATTGTCCCTTTCCACAAAAAGCACAACAGGGAAGGCCTGCAAGACCGGCTGCTTGTCTTTCCATGTTTATCCCACCCGCCTGGAGAAGGTGTCCGGTAACCACGTGGCCAAACAGCTCCCCCGGAATGCCAGCCTGGCTGTGACCCCTGCCCGCTGGCACCCTGAACATCTCCTTGGGCGAAGGACAGAGGCTGAAAATCCCAGATTCCTCTCCTTTTTTTGGAGGGCAGGGAGGATGTCTTTTCCATATGCTTCTCCATTTTTTCCTTTTTAATCTACTATTCTTAAAGAAATGACAAAAAAATAAACTGTCACAAATCCACTCCGGGCTGTGAGTGCTGTCCTCGGTCCCGCTGGGCTCCTGCCGAGGCTCTGCTCTAGAGGCCGGAGACTCGGAGGCCAAGGGCCCCGGCTTCACCCCGGCTGTGACCAGGCCACAGCACTGCCACGAGGGAACCCCCCAAATTCCCTTCCCCCAAGGTCTCTTCCTGCACCAGGGCACTGAAGAGGAGCTTGGGGTCAACACAACCACCTGAACTACCACAGCAACCTGCCTGGCCCTTCCTGCCTCGAATGCCCCCTCGGGTGAGGCCCTGGTGTGACACCTCCCCAAAGGCCACCAGGAGCTGTGCCAAGGGCACAGCCTTTGGGAACAGGAGCCTGCAGGGGGGCGAGCGCCCAGTGGGAGCGGGAGGCTCCACACGGATGTTCCCAGCAGGACACAGGCTCGGGAGACGCAGCAGGGGGCAGCGAGGAGCCGTTCCCATGTTCCTTGGATTCACCTCAAGCCTCCAAGGACACGGGTTTCCAGGAGAGACCCCCACAAGAGCAGAAAACCGAGGCCGTGAACACTAAGGTCACATGTGGGCTCCTGCCCCTTCAGGACTAATGTGTTTGAGCACTGGGTTTTTTATAAACGGAGTGAAGACAGATTCATCCTGCTGAATATCAAATGGAGGCAGCTTTGGAGCACCTCCGGGCCATTCGTGGTCTTAATCCCATGCAAAACCCAGGGAGTCCCATACGTGCTCGACATGGAGGAGATGAGAAGCGACAGGTTTGGACAAACAGCAACAACCAGTCGGAGCGATGCTGGGCAATGAAGAGCTCAAGGCAGCAGGGCCGGGGGCAGCAATGCAGCACAAGGGCATCACCCACACAAGATTATCCCGTGTCAGAAAGGCAGAGCCGACTGCAAAAGGGAATGAACCCCCCCAAGGGACTGGATAAACTCTCAGCTTGGATGCAGCAGCCATAACCAAAGCCAAGCACTTGGGAAAGAACCTTAACTGCAACACGATGCAGAGCTACTGGCACGCGGGAGAGAATGTGAGATGCTGAGCTCCTCAGCTCTGTGCCTAACAGCAGCCACACAGCAAGAAGAATGACAGGGAATATCAGGAGAGGAGCAGGGGGGAACATCACTGTGCTCCTGTACAACCTCTGTGTGGAAAACAATGCATTTGAAACAGCAAAGGTACAGAGAAAGATCAAACGCATAAGAGGAGATTATACCCATCACTCATCGGGGTCTGAAAAGTATAGACAGAATATAGAGGACATGGATGGATGGATGGATGGATGGATGGATGGATGGATGGATGGATGGAGAAAAAAAGGCTGGAAGAGTAGAGTATCATACCAAGGTATGACCATAAAGGAACATTTCCCACACTACTCGCTAGGCATCAGGAAACTGCCAGAGGCTCCTGGAGCAGACAGGTCCGTGCTGAGCCCGGGGCCCTGCAGCCCAGCCCAAGTGCTGGCCCAGCCCAGCACTGCAGCCGGGCACAGGCAAAATACCACAGTCCCCAGCTCTCCTCCTTCAGAAAGGCTGATTGCTACAAACAGTCTTGCACAAACACAGCCTGGAGGTGGGGACTGGTTTTGCTGCTGCTGGCAAATGCCCTGGGGACGTTTGACTCTACAGTGCACGTGAAGAGAACCCGTGAGCACGGCCTGCAGCCCCTGTGCATGGGCCTTCACCCAGCAAGTGACTCTCTTAGCTGCTGCACAAAATTAGCGACCCCCTTAGCTGCAGCTGACCTAACTAGGGAGAGCTGTGCAAAATGAGAGCTTTTTCAATGGCTAGAAACACATCCTACTACTACATAACTTCTTTAAACACGGTTAACTTTATCCTAGAGGGCTGAGGGGAGGAAGAAAAAGAGGGGGAAAAAATATCTACACTAAAATATTTTGGTGCTGTCACAGAGCTTTCTCCTCTCGCTGAGGACAAGGGTCCCC